GATAATTTCATGGAAATGATGACTTGTTATTTTAAACAAATGATTTGTTAATTTCAGCTTGCATGCACTGTTTGAATGTTATTTTAATAACATTGTACCCATATGAATCCATGATTGTCATGAAGTGGTGCTTTATTTGAATTTAATACATTTGATACTCTATTACCTGACCTGGAACGCATTCGTAGCCATACCGAGACAATTACAATACTATGGTATAACTGTATATATATTGTGTACATAGTTTATGCGTCTGAGAGACCAGCTGTTCTAACTTACAAACGTCCAGGTGACGAGAAAGAACATGAGAGGAATGTTTTTGACTTTTGACAGGAGCTGTAGGCAATTCACACCTTTCAATTTGTACTATTCTTCTTTTTGGATAACGACGCTTTAACTTGTAAGCGAAAAATAATCACTGGCGTCACGAGCAGCATCAATACTAAAAACGTCTTTTATATTTATGTAATATTAACGGCTACCAAACCCGTGCTTCTGGTTACAAATAAATGCTATGTCCCAATCACCTGCCCTCTGGACTGGTTTTTAGGTCACCTGAGACAAAGTCTCAAGTGACCTTTTGAGATCGCCTTTTGTCCGTCGTCGTCTGTCGTCTGTCGTTCATCGTGCGTCCGTAAACAATTTACCTTTTCGACTTCTTCTCCAAACCCCCTGAACCAATTTCAATGAAATTTTGCAGGGACCTTCCATGGACAAAGGTCAACAAAAGTAGTGGCCGGTTTAGTCCCAAGCCCCCAGGGGCCTGAGGGGCGGGGCCAAAAAGGGTCAAATTGACTAAAATTTCAAAAATCTTCTTCTCCAAAACCCCTGAACCAATTTCAATGAAATTTTGCAGGGACCTTCCATGGACAATGGTCAACAAAAATAGTGGCCGGTTTAGTCCCATGCCCCCAAGGGCCTGAGAGGCAGAGCCAAAAACGGTCAAATTGACTAAAATTTCCAAAATCGTCTTCTCAAGACCAAGATGTGGTAGAATCAAATACTCTTCATATATGGAAGGGTCTTAAGGTGCTTTACCGAAATTGTGAATTTCTTGACCCTGGGGTCTCACATTTCCCCCTGGGGAGGGGGTAAACTTTACTATAGTTTATATAGGGAAATCACATTTTGGACCAACATTTGTTTAATTTCCATTGGAAGTAATTCAATTTGGGTTAGCATTATCAGTATTAGGTAGCAGTTTGATAGTATGCACCTATGAGCCCTGACTGACCCCCAGGGGCTGATGGGTGGGGCCAAAAAGGGTTGAATTGACTGAAATTTCAAAAATCTTCTTCTCAAGACCCAGATATGGTAGAATCAAATACTCTTCATAGATGGAAGGGTCTTAAGGTGCTTTACCGAAATTGTGAATTTCTTGACCCTGGGGTCTCACGTTTCCCCCTGGGGAGGGGGTAAACTTTACTATAGTTTATATAGGGAAATCACATTTTGGACCAACATTTGTTTAATTTCCATTGGAAGTAATTCAATTTGGGTTAGCATTATCAGTATTAGGTAGCAGTTTGATAGTATGCACCTATGAGCCCTGACTGACCCCCAGGGGCTGATGGGTGGGGCCAAAAAGGGTTGAATTGACTGAAATTTCAAAAATCTTCTTCTCAAGACCCAGATATGGTAGAATCAAATACTCTTCATAGATGGAAGGGTCTTAAGGTGCTTTACCGAAATTGTGAATTTCTTGACCCTGGGGTCTCACGTTTCCCCCTGGGGAGGGGGTAAACTTTACTATAGTTTATATAGGGAAATCACATTTTGGACCAACATTTGTTTAATTTCCATTGGAAGTAATTCAATTTGGGTTAGCATTATCAGTATTAGGTAGCAGTTTGATAGTATGCACCTATGAGCCCTGACTGACCCCNATGATATTTAGCCTCTTTATCTTAATCCTTCCAACCAGGGACGTATGTTTTATTCTGTTTATTATATACTTACTTATAAAAGCTACTTAAATCTTATGATCTATTTTTTTTCGAAATATTGAAAAACGGAAAATTTCCAAAAGGGGTGTGATACAGGTTTTGCAGGCTGATACGGATTTTGGGGTGTGATACGGCGAGGGCTGATATGGGTTAGAGCAATTGTGTCATATCGCATATACAAAAAACCGCAATTTTTAGTAAGAATGTAATATATAGAGATTTATACATGCCTTTTCCATATCAGACCCAGTATCAACCCGAGACTGCAAAATCAGCCCGAGGGCCGAAGGACGATACTGATAGTGAAGATGAAGACAACAAGAGAGGTGAATTTCACGGTATTCTTTTACTGTTATACAATGTGTAGTAGTCGTCAGTGGATGTACTTTTACAAAAATCATCAATATTTTTTTGTGATATTAAACTTAAAAATAAATGCAACATTCACTCTGGTAATTTTCCTAGCATTTAGAACAAATTTTATTTAATTTTCATTCATTAAGTCTTGGTCCTAAACTTTAAATGGATAAACATTTTTTGATGAAAATTCAAAGATGTACATATATTGTGTCAAAACAGTGTGTTACAAACCACTCCGATTTATTATTTTGAAGGTGGAGCAAAATGGAAATTGTGAAATTATTGAATTGCTTCTCTGAACAGTTAATTATGAAGAGCTAATAATTTGTTGCTGAGATTTCATATATACATATATCTATATGTAAATGTCTTATGACTACATAGTGTGCCATGCACTGCTCTAATGACATTAAATGTCTGTATTTTGATGGTTAAATAACAAGCATATAGCTTAAGTATTTTGAAACATCATAGGAACTTAAGACAGATTATAAATGTGTATTTTGTGTCAATACCACCAACATCTATATACATTAAAGGTCAATCATTCCACTACAGGTAATATGCTTTCTGGACATCAACTCTTGAAAGAATGAATTCAAGTTATATTTGTTGAAACTTCATAGATAAATGTAACATGACAGGTCAAATGGTCTCACAGTTTACTTTGGAATGAATTCTAATAAATTCTACCAGGTGAGCTTTTAAGGCCCCTTGGCCTCTTGTTTTCATATCACTGTGCAGGGGTTCATAATTTATCATCAGAGTCACAGCAAGGGTGCAAAGGTCAAATTATATTAATTATTGTTGTGACCTCAATAAATAAAACAATATTATCTCATAAGACTGTTTCCTGATCCAGAGGCAAGTGAATGAAACAATCACGTAAGGGACTTACAGGAAAGTCGCTTTTATAAGACTGATCAACAGCTGCGTGAAGATAGGACTAATTCATGATTCACTTCATAACTGATAGATAACATTGTTCTTCTATAAAGATTTCATGCCATTTATTGATTTTATTGTTGAATATGTCTTTATATTGTTTTACAGGTCCTCGAACACAAGTGATAGAGCATGCGGAGGTAATGCAGTTTGGTCCAAACAATACGGTTATCATAAACAACTACACTTTAGCTAAACCCCAAGACAAATCAGGTAAATATCTGTAAACCCCTTTGGGACGACCTGCGACCTAGGTTGTGATAAAGCAGTATATTAGATACTTAAATTATTATTGATATTTCTTATTTGTAGTTAATGTTAATTGAGGTTACAGTAACGCTATTTGGATGCAACATATCACCTAACCATGATGTACCTATACACAACATTTGATGTCTGAATTCATGAAATAACAGCAGAGCTATGATCTAGAAACCATTATTTTGAGCACTTTATGTCAACGTCAAGTTCAAATTAAAGTCACGGTGACTTTGGTTAACGACGATGTACCTATTTACAAAGTTTGATACCCATCAATGAAACAGTTGCTGAGATATGCTCAGGAAAATGTCATGTTATAACTTTAAGTACAGGTCAAAGGTGAAATTGAGGGCACTTGTGTTTAGAATGTGACATAATGTCTTTCCATATACATGTGTTTGATGTCCATTCATGAAATAGCAGCTAAGATATGCTCCGACTTTGTCAAAGCAGGGTTATTATAAAAGAGGTTTATTTTCCGACAGATACCTGCAGCTATTGTATACTTATACTTATATGACCTTTATATCATATGGCATTGTCATATACACTTGTACAATTATACCCGATAGAAATTACTGGTTATGATTATGTATTCATATGTGAATTTCAAACAAACACAGCAGGTGGATCTAAAGACGGAGGAGGAGAAGATTACAGAAATGCAGATGGTGGCAGACTTTCTGGTCGTGCTATTGATATGTTAATAGCTAAGAAGAAGTCTGTTGGCATCATCCGTGGACCGGGAAACCTTCAGGGTACTGGTTTTCTTCTAAAAAACCACTTAGTGATGACCTCCTACCACCTAATCAAGGATATCGGTAAGAATATGTACATCCCTTAGTTCTACAGAGGAATGGTGGCATATCGGTTAAGCTTAAGAACACATTATACAAATTATAACCATGTATAAAATATTTATAGTTATTTATAATGAAAGGTCATAGCTGTATAGTTTAATAAGTGTCATTGCCCTTCTACTACTCCTAAAGGACTGAACAGATTTTGATGAAAATTTGCATTCATTGTACCCATGCATCATCATCTATAGATTATGGTTGCTTTTATATATGAAACAGGTTTTGATCAATTAATGGTATGGTAGGTGTTATAAGTGTAAAAGTTCACTGGTTGCTATTTTGGGCTTGTGGTAGACCATACCCCAAACCCACTTAAACGATCTACAAAACTTGTGAAAGAGTTTCATTTACCAGGGTTTTGTATACAAAAACCACTGAGCATAAACTTTATGTTTTGGCTCACCTGGCCCAAAGGTTCAAGTGAGCGTCTAGCGTCAACTTTTACTTTCAACAAATTAATAACCAAGAGACCTAGGGTTATGATATTTGGTCAGCAGCATGCTGGGATGAAGAGTTACGAAATTTGTTCTAATGCATGACCTTTGCCCATTTACAAGGTCACAGGGGTCAAATATGTTAAAATCTTTTCACAATGTTTTCTGAATAATCAGAAGGCCCAGGATGATTATATTTAGAGCTGTCATGATACACTTGACCCACGATTCGATACGTATCTCGATATTTGTATCACAATTCTATAATTTCGATTCGATTCACCTTCATTTTAAAATATAAACAAAATGAGATATATAGGCTTCCAACACTTTAATTTTATATTGAAACCGAAACTAAGAATAAAAAAACAATTTGATGCGATGAACTTGGCTGAGATGTGTCGCCATGTTTGCATTTTGCCCCGATTTGTAGGCTCGCATACATAGACATATCTGGCAAATAGTTTGTGATTTGTCCACTTTGCCGTCAATACACGAAAACCTGAAGTGTTTCCACACTTTTGAATGCTTTGTGAAAATTGCATCCTCGCAGCTGATTGTTTGAGGGTTTATAGATCAGCCAATGAAATTGAACGTCTCGCAGACGTTTCGGCTGAAGTGGCATACACTAATATACAGATCGTGACGTATCAAAATTCCGAAAAATATATCGTGAACGGATCAAACATAATCGCGGTACAAGTGCATCACAGTGAATCGTGAAGCCTCTAATTATATTTGGCCAAAACTATGCTGGGATGAATTAAGGGCTACCAGGTTTTTTCAAATTAGTAACCTTGACTTTCATCGTATGTTACAGGGTCAATTATCTGAAACAACAAGAGATCCCAGAGGGTTCTTGGCGCCCACCATTGTACCATCTTCATTAGTTCTTTGTCAGTTAGATCTTTTCTCTTCTTTTCTCTAACCTATTTGATCATGTTAACAGTAAATGGACCTTGAGGTAACTTTTGATCTAAACTTAATACTGCTATTTATAAAAGACAACCTTCAAAGTGAGTTTGTCATTTCACATATTTACTAGTACAGTACTTAAAGTGAAAGAAACAGAATCGATCATTGCAATATGAGAAAGATCTGTTTAGTTCTTCCTTTAGCCATTTTGTTTTAATGATCAGTCTCAAATTATGACATGCACAACGAGGGATCAAGGGGAATCGACATATCAAATATGTTATTCCTGAGAAATAAAGGTAACAAACCTTTAATGTCACAATCCAAGATGATGGCCTATCAGCCATTTTTTTTGTTTGATCATTTTCAAAATTAAACATTCACAACAGCAGACCAAGGGGAACCTACATATAAAATCTGAGAAAGATCCCTCTGGTAATTTCTGAGAAATAGTGATAACAAGAATTGTTTAAGGACAGACCACAGACGCAGGGCGATTTGAATAGCCCACCATCAGAGGATGTTGGGCTAAAAATCCAAAAAACAACTTTTGATGAACAACCAATGGCCCAGGATGATATTTGGTCAGCAACATGCTAGATAAAGGGCTACCAACTTTGTTCCAATGAATGATCTTGAATATATGTCAAGGTCACAGGGGTCAAATATATCTAAAACCAAAAGGCCAAATGTTGGGTATCTGACTGTCTGCAGGTTGGAAACTGGAAAAAATAAATAAAAAATAAAATATGCATTGAATGTTAAATACAGGTATTTATAATATTGGTATAATATCTTGGTACACTCAAATTTGCACGACTGAAAGTTAGGATGAAGGACTGACCCAATGATTATTCAAGGTTACAGGGGTCATATATGTTTTAAACCTAAAAATGACTTTTTCTAAATAACCAATGGTGGGATAGAGGGCTACTAAGTTTGTTCAAATGAATGACCTTAACTGATATTCAAGGTCACAGGGGTAAAATATATTTAAAACCTTCAAATGACTTCTCTTGAATAACCAAAAGGCTTAAGGTGTTCATATTTGGCCAGTTACATGCTAGGATAGCGGATTACCAAATTTGTTCAAATGAATGACTTGGACCTATATTCAGCTACCAAGTTTTTTGCAAATGAATAACCTTGACTTACATGTATATTCCGGGTCACAGGAGTATAATGTGTTTAAAACATTTGAATGACTTCTTCTGAATTATCGAAAGACTAAAGATGTTCATATGTGGCCAATAACATGCTGGGATGAAGGGGAACCAATTTTGTTCAAATGAATGCCTTTGACCTTTATTCAAGGTTGCAGGATGGGTCAAATACCAGGTATGTTTAAAACCTTAAAAAAAACTTCATCGCAATAATCAAATGCCAAGAAAGTTTACATATGGACAGCTACATGCTGGGATGACAAATGAATGACCTTCACACATTGGTTTGGTTTGGTTTAATTTTTTTTAACGTCCTATTAACAGCTAAGGTCATTTAAGTATGTGCCTCCATGTGTGTAGTGTATGCGTGCTTGTGTGTGTGTATGCAGGAAACAGGGTATGTTGTTGTGCTTGCCTCCTTGTAATAGCACGAATCTGATGCCGACGTTATAGTGCTATACGGCATGGCCTTTTAGTGAGATATAGCTATCTCACTGAAATGCCATGCTGAAGGCACCCAGCACAAATTTGCTGAACATTAAGAAGGGAATAACAACTACTATTTTTAAGGACTCTGGTGTCTCGGCCTTGCCTTTCTCACCTGGGCGAACAGACTCAACCTTCAAGCCAAAAGTGAGGTGTTGCTGCAAGCAAGGCACTAGGGAATAACAGGTAGTTAGAAGTAGAAAGCAAGATAAAGATCCCAAATAGTGCAATTGGTGCAGCATATTTATTTTGGTCGCTTTTGTGTCCCCAAATAGAGGACACCAAAGCGAATCCCCAACTCTGCAGGGGGTTCTCTCATTAGTTGCCTTTTACGATATGCAGTGGGTAACAGCAGGTGTATTCTTTTCACGATCCCCCACCTGCAAGGTCACACGGGTCAAATATGTTGAAATCTTTTCTCCGAGAAATGGCTAGGATGATGATATTAAGCCAGTAGCATATGCTGGGATGAAAGATTTGAAAAGTTTTTTTTCAAAAAAATTACCAAGGTCACAGTGGTCGAATATCTTTAAAACATTACACAACTTCTTCTGAATTACTGAATTGCAAAAGGTGGTGATATGTGACCAGTAGCTCAGATCAAGAGCTATCAAGTTTGTTCATGTGAATGTTGCATTCTGGGACGAAAGGCTATAAAATTTGTTCATTTTAAATGTCCTGTCAAAGGGGTCAAATGTGTTTGAATCTTTTGAACAGATTCTTTAGAAAAAATTGGAGTCAAGACACCGATATTTTGCATGTAGCTTTATTTTAGTTCACTGGAAGATTACAGGTGTGAGATTAATACCAGGTGAGTGATGCAGACCCACTGGGCCTCTTGTTTTATTTTCATTTTACAACAATAGTTATTATGAAACAATACGATACTGTTTACAGTTTTCTTTTTCCTATATAAATGATATTTTTTACAGTATGACAAATCTGTGAGTTCAACAGGACAACATACATTTCCTGTAAGCTATAAATTCAGCGTTGTGTGAACTATAATTGCTTCACACAAATCTAATGATTTGTACTGAGCTAATTAAGCCAAAGTTACTTACACATAAGTAAACAAGAGGCCCCATGGGCCTGCATCGCTCACCTGTTATTAATCTAACACTTGTAATCTTAAGATTTCATAAGAACCTATTAAAAGATTTAAACATATGACGCCTCTGACCTTGTTGTTGAACAAGGACATTAGGTTGAAAGTGGATCAAGGTCATTCATTTGAACTAACATGGTAGTCCTTCATCCCAGCATGCTACAGGCCAAATTTCAGAACCCTGGCCCTTTTGCTTATTGAAAAGAAGTCGCTTGAAGATTTAACGACATTTGACCCATGTGACCTTGAAAGTTGGTCAAGGTCATTCATTTGAACAAACTTGGTAGCCCTTCATCCCAGCATGCTAGAGGCCCAATATCAGTACCCTGGGCCTTTTGGTTATTGAGAAGAAGTTGTTTGAAGATTTTATGACATTTGACCACTGTGACCTTGAAAATTGGTCAAGGTCATTCATTGTAACATACTTGGTAGACCTTCATCCCAGCATGCTACAGGCCGAATTTCAGTACCCTGGCCCTTTTGCTTATTGAGAAGAAGT